AACAAAAATGATGGTACACATGGCTGTTTGGTGGGTGTTTGCCTTTGCATAACCACATATCATACAAACCATTACATATGCACATGAATTTGCCTTCATTAAAAATACAGTTTGCAACATCATTGCATTACAAATATGAGGCCAATTGTTTTTGTTTCTTGTGCAAGTAATCCTGTCTACTCAATACTTCTGAATGTTTAAAGTTTGAACAAATACATCATTAGTTGCTTCTGGTTGTAGCTTCCATTTTTAAGTGTAAAGGATGTACAAAAAATGTGAAAATTGTTCTTGTATTGGGTTTGCATGGCAAGGTTTTGGTAGCAGGGGGCAACAGGGGTGGCTTCGTGAGAAGCTGCTAGAAGCTTCCCTTAGGTCTGATGGAGCCAATCCCAGCCAGCTCCAAGATGGACCCTTCACTGGCCAAGGCCGAGCCCATCAGTGACGGTAGTAGTGCCGCCGTGATGACATATTTAAGAAGGGAAAAAAACCCACGAAACAACGGTGCAACACCAGCAGCAGTTGGGGGAGAGAGAGGAGTGAGAATATGTGAGAGAAACAGCTCTGCAGACACTGAGGTCAGTGAAGAAGGAGGGGGAGGAGGTGCTCCAGGCACCAGAGCAGAGATTCCCCTGCAGCCTGTGGTGAAGACCATGGTGAGGCAGCCTGTCCCCCTGCAGCCCATGGAGGGTAATGGTGGAGCAGATATCCACCTGCAGCCTGTGGAGGACCCCACACTGGAGCAGGTGGATGCTCCCCAAGGAGACTGTGACCCTGTGGCAAGCCCGCACTGGAGCAGGCTCCTGGCAGCACCTGTGGCCCTGTAGAGAGAGGAGCCCACGCTGGAGCAGGTTTGCTGGAAGGACTTGTGACCCTGCGGGGGACCCATGCTGGAGCAGTCTGTTCCTGAAGGTCTGCACCCCATGGAGAGGACCCATGCTGGAGCAGTTTGTGGAGAACTGTAGCCTGTGGGAAGGACCCGTGCTGGAGCAGTTCATGGAGGACAGTCTCCTGTGGGAGGGACCCCACGCTGGAGCAGCAGAAGAGGGTGAGGCATGCTCCCCTTGCAGAGGAAGGAGCCGCAAAAACAATGTATGATAAACTGACCACGACCCCCATTCCCCGTCTCCCTGCATCGCTCAGGGGGAAGAAGTTGGAAAATCAGGAGTGAAGAAGGGAGGGGAAGAAGGGGAAGGTGTTGTAAGATTTGTTTTTTATTTTCTCTGATTTGTTTGGCAATAAATTAAATTAATTTTCCCCAAGTTGAGTCTATTTTGCCCAGGACGGTACTTGCTAAATGATCTCCCTGTCCTTATCTTGACCCATGAGTCTTTTGTTATATTTTCTCTCCCCTGTCCTGTTGAGGAGGGGGAGTGATAGAACGACTTTGGTGGGCACAGTTCTGTAAACTGTGATTTGAAAGCAAAGAGCTTCAGTCTTCCGTTGTCATGGGTTGATATTGCAGTAATGTGATTGACTTCACCGAAACTTCCAAACACTAGTGCAGATTAGTGTGGGTTAACCTTGACTGGATGCCAGGTGCCCACCAAGCTGCCCTCTCACTCCCCCTCCTCAGTAGGACAGGGGGAGAAAATAGGATGAAAAGCCAGTGGGTTGAGATAAGGACAAGGAGATCACTCAGCAGTTACCACCATGGGCAAAACAGACTTGACTTAGGGAAATTAATTTAATTTATTGCCAATTAATAACATAGTAGGATCGTAAGAATTAAAAACAAAACTACAAACACTTTCCACCCACCCTTCTCTTCTTCCAAGGCTCAGCTTCACTCCCAACTCCTCTACATTGTCTGCCCCAAGTGGTGCAGGGGGACAGGCAATGGGGGTTGCGGTCAGTTCATAACACTTCATCTCTGTGTCTCCTTCCTCCTCACACTCTTCCCCTGCTTCACCGTGGGTCCCTCCCATGGGAGACAGTCTTTCGTTAACTGCTCCAGCATGGCACCTTTCTGTGAGGTGCAGTCTTTCAGGAACAGCCTGCTCCTGCATGGGTCCCCCATGGGTCACAGGTCCTGCCAGCAAACCTGCTGCTGTGTGAGCTCCTCTCCACAGTTCCTGCCAGAAGCCTGGTCTAGCACAGGCTCTCCATGAGCTGCAGTGTGGGTATCTGCTCCACCGTGGTCCTCCATAGGCTGCAGAGGAACAACCTGCATTACCACGGTCTTATCCTGGGCCTGCAGGGGACTTGCTGCTCTGGCACCTGGAGCACCTCCTCCCCCTCCTTCTTGTCTCACCTCGCTATCTGCAGAGCTGTTTTCTCTCATTTTCTCACTCCCTTCACCCAGCTGCTGTGCAACGTTTTTGCCCTTTCTTAAATAAGTTACCACAGAAGTGCCACCAGCGTCACTGATGGGCTCAGCTTTGGGCAGTGGTAGATCTGTTTTGGAGCTGGCTGGAGCTGGCTCTGACCGACATGGGGGAAGCTCATGGTGTCTTCTCACAGAAGCACCCCTGCAGCCCCCACCTTGCTACCAAAACTTTACCACATAAACCCAGTACAATTAGATTAGTGTATAGAGAGAATTGCACTTTCAGTACATGGGAAGAACTCTGTGGATGAATTCTGAGGTTGTTCATTTTTATGGAAGCATCTATGTGAGTTTATCCATGTTTCCCTTGTAGTCTTTCATTGCAAGATGAACTTAGAGGAGAAACTTTGTTATCTGATAATCTACTATCAGCCTTCTGACTGCAGAAGTTTAACTCTAGAGTGCTTTCTAGTTAGGCCATTTTGCCCACCTGTGTTGCTGTGGTGGAGTTCATTAAGTTTCTTAGTCTCAGGGAGGATAACTGTGTGCCTGCAGTCTGAAGGGCACTTTTCTGTCATCCCATACATTGCCACTTCTGTGGGTATGTCCCAAGTCATCGTGAGTGAGCCAAGAGATCATTGTAGGGTTGTTTATATCCCATTTTTATAAGACAGAGGTTGAGAAGATGGAATTCTTTGTGAAGGAGTATTTCAGGTTGTAGTCACAGACCAGAGCTGCAAAGTTTTAGGCATAAACCCTGGCGTGAACTGCAACACATCAGTTGTTTACCATCAGGCTTTGGGAGCTCTTCATTGGGAAGGGAGAGAATTGGACAGTCAGGGCAGTGAGAGGTAGACACTGGAAAGCAGAATAGATTTAGCCCTGATGTATCCATCTGGAGATTTTATCTTCTCGTGCCATGGATAACTTTTTTCGTGTTCTCCAGAGGAATACTGTATTGCTTTACTGGGAATTATCCAAGAAGGCACAGTAAACGTGAGTATCTACTTCTCAGCACTCGGTACTGAATAATTACCAAAAGTGAAACATTTACGGGAACTCAAAGCTGACACTATTTCATAATATTTGGTGGGTTCTGGATAAACACCTTTATCAATAGACAAACTGACAGAAACATCTTCTAAGTAAGGGCTTTAGTGCAGTGAAGGCTCTCACCCACTCCAGTCCTTTACTCTTAATGTCAATGTTCCATATTTTGCAAATAGGTCTTTCCAGCCAGTACAGTCTGTAATAATCACTTTTGGTTTCTTTATTTCATGTAATGCATTGGCTTTCATTTCTGTTCCTGTCTCCTGGCATTAGGTGGAGTGGATTTCTCCTTTGTGCCATTGCAATGCTCCTTGTGATATTTCCCATGTTTACCTTTCCGAAAAAGCTCCCTCCTCGACATAAAAAGAAGAAAAAAAAAAAGAAGATGAACTCTGATGATGTTTCAAGTGATGATGAAGTAATGAAAGAGAAATCAAATAGCAAAATACAAGCAGACAGTGCAGTTCCTGCCTCTATGGGATTTGGAAAGAATGTTAAAGGTGAAGTTTGTTTTTAATTTTTAAATGCTTTAAATTTTGTACACTGGGTCATCTAAATTGTATGAATGTAACTGAAGGCAGAGTTTTGACATCCTGTATTTCATATTAGGTTTTGCTATTGAGATTTTAATAGATGGTCATCCTCTAAAACTGCAAAATGCAGTGATGAGTGTAAGACATCCATTTACTTAAATTATTGAAGTGTTTAATGTGCACCTATAACAAACAGGTAGCCTGTTTCCTATAGTTACAGGACCTCTAATATCAGATGTATTTGTGCACTGTCATACTTTCTTTAAGCTGTTCTCCATAGAATAAAGTGCTCTTCTAAAATATAAATGAAACAAGTAAAAAGAATTCTAGCATGTGGGTTCATTTGCATTCATGCATTTGGGTAAGTTAATTGAGAAAGATTATTTGTTTCATATACCTTTCCTAGCTATTCTGTACTGCAGCCTGTGCTAATTTTGAAACAAGAAGAGATCAAAAGATTGACAAGTAATACAGATTTTTATTTTATTCAAGAAGCAAACCATTAATGTGAAATCTAACAATAAGTAGTTACCATTGATAAAGCGCTGTGGGAAGAAGGGCAGTGTTGTTAAAAATTAATTAATGTGAATGAAGCATATACGTTTGGAGTCGACAGTATAGGCTTAACAGTGTCATAACATTGAATAGCATAGGACAAGAATTGATGTGCCTTAATGCTGTTGTGTTGTCAATGCTTTTGTGTCCTCCTTGGATTCCATGATATGAATGCTGGCTGTGTCATTTTGTGGTTGCCTGATGAGTGCAATGGGACTAGGAGAAACCATGAAATGTCATTTGTACTATTAGATGTAATTCGAACTCAAAACTTTTAAGTGTTTATTTGTTGACATGAACATTAGTGTTACTTTTTCATTGGATGTCAGTCCAGGATATAATGATTGGTAGATTTTTTAATGACACGTTTATGATCACTTTTTATATTGAGTAGGCAAGGCTTAGCAAAACCAGTGTGCTGGTTTTAGACTAAAACCAGTATAATTCTAAGAAATGTTTTCCCACATGTATATTAATTTGCTCTACATTGCATTTATGTCTATACTCTCAGGGTACCTAAAGTTACTGTTATTTTCTATGGAAGTAAAGAAAAAACAGAAGACCAGACTTTGCTCGTGGTGATTTTATTAGCTTACAAAACAGCATCTTAATCAAGGCACAGAGCGAGCAAGCAAGATAAACCTGCAATATTAGATCTTGCAGAACCGTGTTCTGCCTTTATTTGCAAAGTAGCTAAAAAAGTGATGGAGAAGCAAGAAAAGCATGTTATCTACTTCCTTCTTGGAAGACTCTCTATTCTCTGTGAGTCTGTGTATATAAAGTTTTCTTCTAAATCCATGAAGTTAGTTGTGGTTTTTTTTTTTGGCCTTCAAATCTACTGGCCCTCTGATTAGCAAAAGTCATTCAGGACTACTCCTGTCAAGGTTTTCTCACTAACTTAGGGAAGTGGGGAAGGGGAGTTCAGTCTTTGCTGGGCTCCTTCCTAATTATTGCAGGCAGTGCCACAGCAGAGGGACTGCTTTATCCTATAGGTGTGCCTGGAAAAGATACACAGGTATTCACACAAACTCTGTGTCTGGATGAGTTTGCTAATGATGGTTCTCTGTTTCTGTACGTAATTTCACCTTCCAGGTCATGTCGTGTCACTACAGGCACAACAGATACACAGAAAACAAGTATACTCCGAGGAGAATGTTTTCTAGTACTTTTTTTCACAGAAATGAAAACTACTGTATATCTCATTTTAGTGTGTATTTTTTTTTATACACATCTGCCTAAGTGCATACCATACCTTCTACAAAATTCTGCATTAACATATTAGTGAAGCCACCAAATTAGAGCTTCTCACAGACAAAACTTTCTGTTTTCTCTAGAGGAGAAACTTTGCCACGTGGAACAGTGAAAAGCAGCATTGTATTCCACATGTCAGAAAGATACCAAGCACGTTGAGATAATGCAGAGAAAAGTATTTTGCTATAAGCTGATAATAGCTTTCCCATTAGGTGTCATTTGCCCTAGCAAAGAGGGCCTGCAGCAGG